GTAAGTAACCATCGTAGAGAGAGAGAGAGAGAGAGAGAGAGAGAGAGAGAGAGAGAGAGAGAGAGAGAGAGAGAGAGAGAGAGAGAGAGAGAGAGAGAGAGAGAGAGAGAGAGAGAGAGAGAGAGAGAGAGAGAGAGAGAGAGAGAGAGAGAGAGAGAGAGAGAGAGAGAGAGAGAGAGAGAGAGAGAGAGGATTCGGTATTGACCTAGTTGAAGTATCCCATTTTGAAACGACGAGTAAACGACATCCTCTTCCTCCATTTCATGTTAGAACCTTATGCACAAACGAGATACATATATCCTGTTGTGTATAATGCTCCTAAATTATAGGAGAAAAGGAAAAGTGTCCAGAAGTCTCGCTTTCTGTGTATCCTCCCTGATGGTCGCGAAATAAGTTGTGTTAGTTTTTCTAATTACAAATATTCATAAACAGGAGGCGATAATGTTTCCTGGCCTGTTACCAGGTGTCGGGGTTGCCTCTGACTTTCGTGTATTCAGTATACTGATGACTCAGCATTATTTATAATAGTCTTGTTCAATCATATATACAAATTCCTATGATCAGCAGGAGAGAGAGAGAGAGAGAGAGAGAGAGAGAGAGAGAGAGAGAGAGAGAGAGAGAGAGAGGGGGGGGGGGGAGATAGAGAGGGAGAGGGAGAAATACAGAGGAAGAGGGAGAAATAGAGAGGGAGAGATAGAGAGGGAGAGATAGAGAGGGAGAGGGAGAGATAGAGAAGGAGAGGGAGCAGGGGATGGAGAAGGAGTGGGAGTGGGAGTGGGAGTGGGAGAGGGAGATGGAATGGGAAAAGGAGAGGGAGTGAGAGAGGGAGAGGGAGTGAGAGAGGGAGAGGGAGTGAGAGTGGGAGTGGGAGAGAGAGTGGGAGAGGGAGAGGGAGAGGGAGGGAGAGGGAGGGAGAGGGAGAGAGAGGGAGAGAGAGGGAGAGAGAGAGAGAGAGAGAGAGAGAGAGAGAGGAGAGAGAGAGAGAGAGAGAGGGAGAGGGAGAGGGAGGGAGAGGGAGAGGGAGAGGGAGAGAGAGAGAGAGAGAGAGAGAATAGATGCTATCTCTCTCTCTCTCTCTTTCTCTCTCTCTCTCTCACTCTGCCCCCCCCAAAAAAAAAAAAAAAATCTTTTATGAACGTACGTCTAGAGAAAGAGAGTAAACAGAAGGAAAGAGAGAGAAAAAAGGTTGCATAAGTGCCGTTGCTACAAGTCCGCGATGCCCTCCCAGCATAACCGGCGACTCAGCAAAGGTGTCATGCGCCCAGAGAGATTGCTTGTTTGGTGACGAAGTGAGTCATCGGTTTGGTATACAGCGTTCGCTCCTAATGTTTCAACAGAATGTGCAGTCTTATGTATCAGCTGCCATTTGTATTCTTTGGCATATCAATACCAGCTTTTATCTAATTATGTATCGTGTATTTGTAGTAAACTGAATAAATGTTATCAAGTTTGATAATTTTACACGTACCACTTTGACATAAGCTGCAGCCTTTTCAAGGAAAGGCATATCCATGAACCATTGCCAGGTGGGTCCTAAGAACTGCCATTGGTGGATATAAGAAATGTCAAAAGAGGACGCGCATCCGCCATTTGATACATAAAAATTAAGGCGAAAGGAACCATACATCTAAGAAGAGAGAAGTGTAACGAGGACAGTCTGGTAGTTGAACGATTTATATGAATCAGTCAGGTCTGATTTCTGCAGTTCTAGAAGGCGAATCCAAATTAGATTTTAGTTAGATCTTTTTTTATTTTCTTATGAAAGTGTGGTTCGAGGAGAGCCTCTCAACAGTAATGGTAGAATATTAGGATACAGGCAATAGAATCATAACGTATTGGTAATAGTAGCAATAATGCTGTAGTTAATACTGGTGATAATACTAGTGTGAATGATAGTTATGGCAGTAAAACTGATGATGATAATTACGCTGACATGGATGGCAATGGTAAAAAAGTCTTTGTAACGATATTACAATAGAAAATCTAAAGATAAGGATAAATTATTTGTACCAATTTGTCATCTGGTTATAGATTCTTATCGTTAGATATTGCTTATTGCTTTCAATATCATTTTGTAATCCTCATGCTAAATATAGAAATACTAATTTTAAGAATAGTAAAGATACTGATAAAGATAAGTGATGATAATTAATATTATCATTATCATAAAGTGAATATTAGTAATAATAATGATAATCGTAAAAGTACCAACATGACTCTTGTGTGCGCGCGCGCGTGCGAGCGTGTGTGTGTGTGTGTGTGTGTGTGTGTGTGTGTGTGTGTGTGTGTGTGTGTGTGTGTGTGTGTGTGTGTGTGTGTGTGCGTGCGTGTGTGCGTGCGTGCGTGCGTGCGTGCGTGTGTGTGTGCGTGTTTGGACAATATGCATACAGTTTCAACTTTAAACTGCCACCGTAGGCTGCTTACTCATTTAGTTCAGTAAATATATTTTGCTGGCTTAAACGTTGTTATGCTGACGTTCTACCTTTTGCAATGCTATTTCTTTTCCTTACTGATGCAATCATTTCTGATGGTGCAAGATTTCTCAAGGAATTTCCTCTGCTTCCCAAGGGGACACAGTAGAGCCCAGGCCTGAAAAATGTAATCCCTAATTAAAAGAGATATTGATTGTGGTGAAAGCGATATGGGTTAGAGTGGGCGATACCACAGGGCGAGATATATGAGATGCATTATCATTATCTTGTATCTATATGAAACCTTAAACATACGATGAAAAAAAAATAATAATAATAATACGCCCTGTGACTTACTGTGTGCCTTGCAACTAAATAAAGTTGGATTTTTTCCGAAAAGGGACGCGTCATGTATCAGCAGAGGCACGCATGCACAGGAGATGCTTTGTTTTCGCAAATGTTGCAACGCACGGAGCCATGTTTGGTAAACTGTCTTTCTTAACTTTGCGTTGACCTTGTGCGCTATTGAGCCGCTGCCGTATTGCCAAGGAGGGGGAAGGAAAGAAAATTGCCACTTTAGTTCATGAAACGGCAATGTACAGTACATATATACATATTTAGATGTATATATCCATCCATCCACCCATCCATCTTCTATCTATCTATCCATCCATCCATCCATCCATGCATGCATGAATATGCCGGTATACACACAAAGGAAAATGTCATAAGTGCATGTAATAAATTTTCGTGAATTCTGTCCCATTTTTATGGATTTTTATGGAGTCTTACATATGTGCTTATACATACACTATGTAGGAGAATCATATACGCACACACACACATACACACACACACACACACACACACACACACACACACACACACACACACACACACACACACACACACACACACACACACACACATACACATACACACATATATATGTGTATATAGGTACATGGACACAGACGGGTCGATCGATCAACAGACCGACAGATAAGTCTTAATATTCCCTCGATATCTACGGGCAATATTAATATTACGCATGGAGTATATTTGCATATTTTGGTCGTATGGAATTGATATACATTCAAGGCACCAATTTCAAATGCATGACAGATTGAGAGCGTTTCGAAACAGAGCGAACCAGTCGGCAACCGAAATATCTAAGCTATGATGAAAAGTTTACTTAGAAGCCAGCGATAAATCTGCTTTCTGTATAACTTTGAGTTGAATTCAGGTCTCGAAAGCTACTTACTTTAATAGCATTTAAAACTTGTGTGCGCGGAAATGTGCAGCGTGGCAGATCAGAAAGGTAGGGGAGACCATTTCAAAACATTTATTTAAAGGAAAGGGGATTCATAGAAGTATATCGTTTATAAGTGATATTCTCTAAGATGTGGCTATCCATTCATATTGGATTTGTTTTTATTATTATTACGATTGTCATGATTACCATTATGTGTTTTTCTTATCCTTATTGTTGTTATTATCTTCATTAACATCATCATTATCATTATTATTTGATGATGATGATGATGATGATGGAGAGACAGAGAGAGAGAGAGAGAGAGAGAGAGAGAGAGAGAGAGAGAGAGAGAGAGAGAGAGAGAGAGAGAGAGAGAGAGAGAGAGAGAGAGAGAGAGAAATAGGGAGATGTATTCATATATATGTTTGTGTGTGTGTGTGTGTGTGTGTGTGTGTGTGTGTGTGTGTGTGTGTGTGTGTGTGTGTGTGTGTGTGTGTGTGTGTGGTCCCGTATTCAATTCCCCGCCACAACAGTTGCAAAATATGCCTGCGCTCCAACTATTAGCTCGAGCCTGATCTCACGGCGAGAAAATGACAAAACGCAAATGTCGTAGGGGAAGTCGCTGCCGTGACATAAGTGGTAGCGGGCTGAACCGCGGTTGATTAGGAAGGGCATCCAAGCAGGTAAGGGTGGTACTACCAACTGACCTCTCAAATTGAGAGAGGCATAGATCCTTCAAGGGAATAAATGTCTGTTGAACAAACATATATATATATATATATATATATATATATATATATATATATATATATATATATTAACATATATTCACAAATACGAGCGCGCATATTTGCGTGCGTGTGTGCAGTACACACACACGCACACACACACACACACACACACACACACACACACACACACACACACACACACACACACACACACACACACACACACACACACACACGTATATATATAATAATGATAACTTTAGAGTATGTATGTCATATAATCATGTGTTTACACACATCAGAGTTATATTAAGGAAATGTAGATCAATTTGAATACATTTTAGATCAGTGGAATAACAAGCTCTAATTAAAATCAGGAGGACAGTCACATAACCATCACAGTGCTTAAGAAAGGAATGGTATGGCAATGTCAAATATAGTGGCAATAATTAATAAAAATCAGGTGCTTGCCATCAGTCCATTGATAATTTTCCAAGAACGTAAATACAGTCAATTGTAAAGGGGCAAGGGATTCGGCGAACAGTGAGATGCATGTAATTCCAGTAAATGTGTTGTCCAAAGTGCGAATGATTTGAGAACTGC